CAAAACTCACAAATTAAGCTTTTCTTCTACTATCTCTAGCTTTCTTCCCATATCTTTGCTCTGGTTTTGGTCCAAAGGTTTATGATCTATGATATATACGATACTTAGCTCAAAAGGTATATAACCTATGGTGTGTGTGGTGTATATGTGTGCAGCTTTGGTCATGAGATTGCATTCTGGGGGGGCACCTGGGTGGCTCAGTGGGTTAAAGCCTCTGCCTTCTGCTCAGTTCATGATCCCAGGGTCCTAGGATCAAGCCCCATATCGGGCTCTCTGCTCAGCAGGGAACCTGCTTTCCCCTCTTTCTCTGCCTGCCTCTCTGCCTACTTGTGATCTCTGTCTATCAAATAAATAAATAAAATAAAAAAAAAAGATTGCATTCTGGGGTGGTCTTCCACAGCTCATAGGAAACAAGGGATCCTGTACCATCTTCCCTACGTGTAGTGGAACACTCAGATCACAGAACCCAACCATGTACACTTCTATTATCTCTCTTCTTTTTAGGGAACTCACTGTGGTGAAGTGTTTTAATCTTGACTTGCATCCTGAGCAAAAGATGGTACTTTCCTTGCCCCTGCTGGCTTCTCAGCATTCCTTCTCCCTGGTTCTCACCTTTGAACACTTCTCCCAAGTCAGGGATCTAGGGGGACTGACCCATGGGAATCCTGACAGCCCTGTCCATTGGATTTCAACATCTTTCTGCTTTCACTTAGATGCTGTGATGATTACTTTTATATGTCAACTTGGCTGGGCCACATGGTGCCCTGATATTTGGTCAAATATTATTATTCAGGGTGTTTCTGTGAGGGTGTTTTTGGGTGAAATTGATGTTTAAATTGGCAGACTCCACGTAAAGCAGATTGCTCTACATAATGTGGGTGGGCCTCATCCAATCAGTTAAAAGGCCTGAACAGAACAAAAGGCTGGACTCTCCCTACTCACGGCAAGAAAAACTCAACAAATAATGACTTTCAGACTCAAACTGGAACATCTGCTCCTCTTAGTTCTCCAGATCAATGGCCCTGGTGGACTTTGGACTTGAACTATAACCTTAGCTTTCCTGGGTCTCCAGCATGCTTGCCAGTCCTGAAGTTTTTGGACTTGCCAGCATCGATAACAGCACAAGCTAATTCTTTATCCCATATTTTTCTCTGGAGAACTCTAATATAGATATCCTGTTCACATTCTTGGATGAATTATCAGGCAGGTACTCTGGCCTACTTCATTCTCATTTATTGACATGTCTAAGACACATGACGTTTCTCCTTGCTCCAGCCTGGAAAGAGAAAACTCTTGGTTTATCCCAGCAGCTGTGATATGTCAGGCTTCCTATTTGTTTACTGCAAACTGTGTGCCTCTCAAGGGCAGAAAGCATACTTTGTTTTCATGTCCACACTGCCCAACATTTTGATCATTGCAAAGTCCAGGAAAAACTGCACAATTTCACATCAGACTAGGACACTTAGCTTACATGATGTACTTTTAATAGGAGAAAAGATTTTTTTTTAAGATTTTATTTGTTTATTTGACAGACAGAGATCACAAGTAGGCAGAGAGGCAGGCAGAGAGAGAGAGGAGAAAGCAGGCTCCCTGCTGAGCAGAGAGCCCGATGCGGGGCTCGATCCCAGGACTCTGGGATCATGACCTGAGCCGAAGGCAGAAGCTTTAACCCACGGAGCCACCCAGGCGCCCCAGGAGAAAAGATTTTTTAAAAAATATATAAATAATGCTAAAAAATGCTAATGCTAAAAAAAATCAGGAAATGACAGTAAATGATCACATGTAATGATGATATTTTACTATGAATAAAATGTCAAAGTTTAGTGCTTTGGGATATTTTCATGCAATAAAATGAAAGATACAAAAACAGAAAAGAAGGGTCAGAAATAGACCAGAATACACACAGGATTTTAGAACACGATAAAGGTGGCAATTTAATTCAGTGGAGAAAATTGGAAAGAGTCTTACCTTTCTCATAGAACCTGTGCTACAGATCAGTGACTCCATGATTAGAGGAAATACAGAGCCCTGGGAACAAAGGGAGTCTTCCCTCCACCCCTCCACCACATGGGCAGGTGATCAACTTTAGGACCTGATAGACTGGGACCAGAGTGAGGTAAGTGGCCTCACATGCATGGCCTGGCCTTACTCTCCTTGCCCTATTCATGGCCTGTTGATCTTGCCTTTATTTAAAATGGGTATTTTATTTATCATGGATTTTTTAAAATTAATTCTGATTTTTAAAAAACAAACTGTTTTACTACACCAAAATAAAAAACTTTTGGACAGCAAAATAAACCAACAACACAAAAAAGCAACCTACTGAATGGGAGAAGATCGTTGCAAATGATACATCTAATTAGGGGTTAATATCCAAAATATATAAAGAACTTATACAACTCAACCCCTCAAAAACAAATAATCCAATTAAAATAGCAGAGAATCTAAATAGATATTTTTCCAAAGAAGATATACATACAGATGGCCAACAGACACATGAAAAGATGCCCAACATCACTAACCAAGGAAATGCAAATTAAAAACCACAATGAGATATCACTTTACACCTGTCAGAATGGTTAAATTAAAAAAGACTAGAAATAACAGGTGTTCATGAGGATGTGGAGAAAAAGGAACCCTTATGCACTTTGGTGGGAATGCAAACTTGTGCAGCCATTATAGAAAACAGTATGGAGATTCCTCAAAATACTAAAACTAGAATTACTATATGATCCAGTAATTACACTACTGGGTATTTACCCAAAGAAAGTAAAAACACTCATTCTAAAAGATATATGTACCCCTTCATTTATTGCAACATTAATTACAATAGCCAAGGTATGGAGATGATGAAGTGTCCATTGATAGACAAATGGATAAAGAAGAGGTGGTATATGTATATATATAGAGAGAGAGAGAGAGAGAATTACTCAGCCTTAAAAAGGATAAGATCTTGTGATTTGTGGCAAAATGAATAGACATTGAAGGTATTATACTAAGATAAGTCAGAGAAAGACAAATACTATATGATTTCACTCATATGTGGAATCTAAAAAACAAAATAAACGAATAAACAAAAAGCAGAAAGAGACCCATAAATACAGAGAACAAGCTGATGGTTGCCAGAGGGGAAGGGGATGGGGAAAGGGCAAAATGGGTGAATGGGAGTGGGAGAAACAGGCTTCTAGCTGTGGAATAAGTCATAGGAATATAAGGTACAGAATGGGGAATATAGTCAATTAAGAAAAAAGAACAAAAACCCCAAACATATTGCTTTAACATATTATTCATATGGATCACTGAATTTTTTGGCATGCCCTTAGGTTTTGCACCTGAGAGGAGTGCCTCCCTCCCCTCACCTGAGTGCCAATCCTGCCCAGTTTGGGAGGAACCAGCAGCTTCTCTTACCAGTGGCACTGGAGAGGAGTTGAATAGTACCTGACACCTGGTGGGTATTCAATAAATGTTTTTTGAATACTTGTTGAATGAGTGAGAAGGCTGAGAACCAAGAAGCCTGTCTTGAAGTGATTCAGAAGAGATGTTCTCAACTTACCGTACTACTTGCGTATGGTCCCCTGGGAAAAACCACCTGTCAGTCCTTGTCATGTGAGATCTTAATAGGCTGCTTTGCATAGGCAGTGTAAGATCTCACATATAAAGTTATTAAGAGAAACTTAAGGGGACAGTGACTTAAAGGAGAAGGAACAAGATGAATTAAAATAGGATGTCACTGTGGAGTGTGAACTCAGGGAAGTCCTAGAAGAAAACGTTATTAAAAATTCAACGAGAACTCTATGTAGATGTAATCAGAACAGTCACGCAGGTGTTTCTGGAACTAAAAAATATTCTAGAACTTAAAAAAATGCCCAATTTAATAATTCAACAGAAGAATTAGAAAAGTGAATGATCGCTGGTAAAAACACATGTTCAGACCCCAGATACATAGAAATGAATATGATGAGGAAAAAGGTAGCAGTCATGGGAGACAGACAGTTATGACAGGCTTAAAATACACAAATAAAGGTCCCAAAGAGGCAAAAAAAAACCAAAAAACAAAAACCCAAACACATAGACCAGAAGCAATAATCAAATAAATGATAGAGGAACACACTTCTGAAGAAGACAGAAATTTGAGTCTTCAACTTGAAAACATCATCATCTCACAGGCAGTATCAACAAAAATGATAATGTCTACTGTAGACAGAACGACTTGGCCTGGGAAAAAGACCAGTTTGCAGGTGGCACTGTATCCTTGTTGAGAAAGTTCCCAATATGCAACAAGCTGTCTAAAATGTGTGCAAACTCTTTAAAGCAGTAATTCTATTTCAGGAAGACCCTCTTAAGAAAATAATTCCAAAGCCCCCAAAATACATCAGTTGTGGGAGTACAAATATAGGTACTCGTTTATAACGTAAAGATGTAAGTAAAATGAACAGGGACAGCGAAAGAGGCCCAGCCCATGCGATTGGCAGCCATGGACGGGTTTGTGGGGACAGCACACAGATAAATTATGGAAGATCCATAGATTAAAATAGTGTCTAGAGTAAATACATGAGGTCCGAGTTGACGTTGAAAATGTTTAAACGAAAATGATCTTAATGGGGAAGAAAGAGGGGCACAAAATGGTACTTTCATACTGATGGCCGTTGCATAAAAAACCGTTCAGGCCATAAATCCTTATTTGAAAAGAAAACAACCTTTTATGAATGTGGCAACACGCTGGGCCCTGACAAGGAAACGGCACAAATATACAAGAATAATGCACAATTAGAAAGTCCGGGCTGTGGCCTGGCCTCCGTCAAAGTCTCTGGTAAGCTCCGGGTCTGCGCCCCCAGAAGAGCTGGACAAAGGGTCGGGGGGACGTTCCCGCCGGACCACAAGCCGACCGCTCGCCAGGGGGCGCTCCACGCACGACCCCACGGTCCCGGGCACCCTCCCATCCTGGCCTCCGCCCCGCCCGCCGCCAGGGGGCGCCGCAGGCTGCCCAGCGCTCGGCTCGCCGCCCCCGACCGCCGGCGCGGGCAAGCGGCGGAGGCCGGCCTGGCGGCGGCCATGGACCGCTTCTTGTGGACCAGCGGCCTCCTGGAGATTAACGAAACCCTGGTGATCCAGCAGCGCGGAGTGCGCATTTACGACGGCGAGGAGAAGGTGAGGGCTGCCTCCGGGACGGTGCGCGGTCTGGCGGGCCTGCGGGGCCTCCCCGCCCGGGCCCCGGGTTCCCCACCCCGCGGCGCGCAGGGAGCGGCGGGGACAGTCGACGAGTGGCCGGGTGCCGGCGCCTCCGGCCCGCGCTCGGGCTTGGTGACGGTGGGTTGGGCCGGGCCGCGCCGCGCCGGGCCATTCTGCCCGGCCCCCTGACCCGGAGTGCCTCCGTGACCGGGCGCGGCCGTTGCGCGTGGGGTTTGCCCCACAGAGCGGGCGGTAGTGTCCTGCAGGGGTTTCCGAGAAGCGTGTCCGGGTCTCACCGGGACGCCTTTTTGAAGGCTCTTCCCCCCCCCCTTTTTTTTTTTCCGGGAATGACTTTAGAAAGGAGTCTAGAGCGTTTGTTTGGGAAAGTGATGTGGTAGGCCGTGCCTTGTCATGCGGGCGGAAACCTCAGGAGATGCGCTTGCGAATGGGGAGAAGTGTTCCCAGCGTGAGCGTTCGGGGCGGACTTCCCGTCCCGCTGTTAGCGCGGGGGAGCCGGGTCCCACGCGGCTGGGGCTGCGCCCTCCTCTCCCCCCCGGAAGAACCGCGCTCCAGAGACGAGCCTTCTGGAGAGGGAGAGGAAGGCTGCTTTCCCCGGGAAGACGGTGGACTAACGCCCCAAAGACCATCCTCCCGGTCCCCGCGAAGCCGGAAGGGCTTAAAGGGGAAGGCAGGGTGCTGGGACGGGGAGGCGGGGTACTCTGTGCAGGGGAAGCAGGTGCCGAGGCGGTTAGTCCGAGGTGGGCATGACCCTGAACAGACTTGCTGGCATCAGCCGCAGCTGTTTTCCAGTGCGGTCAGCCTTTATTTTCAGGGCAAGTCTGGTCCACTCCTCAAGGCCAGTGGTCTGCAAGTCTCAAGGGAGGTAGGTTAGTCCCCTTCACACCAAGGGAGTTTGGCCAGCCCGCACGGAGCGCCTAAGCTTGAGGTTAGAGTGCTGTTGCGGAACTGCTAACCTCACCTGGATGAAATGTATAAGCTGGAATCAGAAAAATGTCAAAAACCCATTTATTCAGCAACATTTTTAGTTTCCAGAAGTTTTCACTTGCTCTCTCTTCTTCTTTGTGGTTTCGTTCATGAAACTTCCTTCTCTACTTTTGCGTTTGTTCCTTGACTCACAGCTTTTCCTGGTCCTTGTCGGCAGAAGCTTGAGACTTCCGTCCTCCTAGGTCATGGAGGGCAGACCCAGATATCTAGGGGCACAGTGGACATGGCATAGGACCCAGGTGTTCTGCTTCCCTGAGGGTATTTTCCGTGTACTTTGTTGCCTCCATTATCAAGTCCAGGTCTTTTTCTTAAAATAATTTGCTTGGATTTGCTTGATTTCCTGCCTTAGCACTTTTATTGACTTGATCTCAAATTGGGTTTACATCTTTTGGTTGGAGTGACTAAACTAAAACGTTTTAACAACAAGGTTACAATCTCTGGAACTTTTTAATTTTTATTAATTCATTCTTAAATTTTACTTTATTTTTTCAGTGTTCCAAGATTTATTGTTTATGCACCACACCCAGTGCTCCATGCAATACATGCCCTCCTTAATACCCACCACCAGGCTCACCCATCCCCCCACCCTCTCCCCTCCAAAACCCTCAGTTTGTTTCTCAGAGTCCACAGTCTCTCATAGTTCGTCTCCCGCTCTGATTTCCCCCAGTTCGCTTTCCCTTTCCTTCTCCCAATGTCCTCCATGTTATTCCTTATGTTCCACAAGTAAGTGAAACCATATGATAATTGACTTTCTCTGCTTGACTTATTTCACTCAGCAAAACCTCCTCCAGTCTTTGGAGCTTTTTAAATGGAAAGCATAATCAAATTCCCTCCCTCAGCCAGTTTGATGATGCCTCCCTCTCAGTACTGACAATCATAGACTGGTATTCAGAGACTCTACTAAAGACAGTCCATGCTGGAAGTCACACTTTTGCAAAACATCACACCCTGTTCTGTGTAACTCTAGTATGCAAATTAGGAACATCTTGGCTGGCACCTAATAAAACTATGATTTTATGAACTCTATGAACTATGAACTCTATTTAAGACAACAAAAAGTCAAAACCATGAGTACCTGTATATGGAAGAACAATTGCTAAACCAGTGTATTCTAATGTTTCCTTTTAAGTTTTTGCTTCTTTTAGCAGACAAGTAGATATAGTTATCAGAGGATTAATAAAAAAGTATTGGAAAAAATTTAGTAAGTCCCTTTGATCTATTGAGGAATTCTTAACTGTTCTAAAAGCTGAAGATGGTGAGGGAGGGATGTAGGTGTCCTGAAACTGAAGCAGAGCTCTAAGACAAGCCTGCTCACCGCTGCGGTCCCCAAGCTGCATGGAATGAGTCACTGGCTGAGCCATCCCCAGTGTGGCTGAGGGCTTAGGCTGAATCCCGGGGAAAAGTCCCGTGTCCTGGCTTCCTCCATCTGCTGGAAGGCTTCCAGACCTCATGTGGTCTAAAGGCTCTAGGAAGCTCCCTATCGGCCTCCAGGGAACTTGAACTCTGGTCAAGTTCCCTTTCAGTATCTTGCACTGGCTCCCTTGGTCTAGGGCACTTGAGTCCAGTCAGTGTGGCCTTAATAGCTGTGCATCCTGACACATTCCCAAGGCAGGTGTGCACATCCCAAGGCAGGGGTGTACTTGGCCGTCTACTAGATCAGGCGGTCGCTCCCGAGGGCAGAAAGCGTGCCTTACTCATCCTTGCATCTTTTGGTTCATTGAGGGTATGAAGTACATGGGGGAAAAAAAAAGAGACCTGAGTAATTAGAGCACCTACTGTGTGCCAGGAGCTTTACATATAATCTCATTTAATCTTCTCCGTGGGCATAAGAGGTGCTATTTTATGGATGAGACAATAACTGTTAGAAAGGGGCCTGCCCACACACAGTTGGTTAGCAGGAGACACCAGAGTGAGATCTCTTGATCAGACTCCCAAAGCCTGCACTTGGTTTGCGTGGCTGTGATGCTTCATGAGCACAGTAGCCACCAGCGTCAGACTCTGTGTAATGTTTAATATAGTCGATACTCCCAGAGATGAAGACACAGAGGCTCTTGGTTGATAGCTGAGGAAACTGTGACCTGTCTGAGGTCACACACTTAGTATTTGGTGGAGCCCTAGTAGACGGCTTTTCCCACCGCCCCAGCACCCAAGCACCTCTTGTGGATAAATGCATGCCTGCTTGTTTCTACAGGCATAGTTTTCATGGGCCCATTATGACGGGTTAGTGTGTTGTTTTCTTAAGCAGCGTAGACAGGTCATTTGTTTAAATTCACACAAGCCTCTATAGCCTCAGCTAATTTAAAAATACAATGAAAGCAGGTTAGTAGTGTATAAAGTGGCAAGTTGGCAACATACACTGGGAGACTTGGAAAATGTGTATTTTCTTTCAGCTAGGTATTTCACTTTTAGGAATTTACCCCTGGGAAATAACCAGAGATGCATAAAAATATAATGAATGAGGATGCTCGTCTCAGCATTGTTATATATATTCTATATTATTACATATATAGAAAATTGGAAGCAACCCGAATGTTGCCCAGAGGGTTTTGTTAATTAAATATGATACACCCTAATCAACATGAGGAATTGTTAATGATAGGCCACCAGTTGAAAAAAGCAAGTTATAAAACTAAATATAATGGCTTCATTTTATTTAAAGATTATTCAATATACATATGTATACATGTGTGTATTCTTTGGCTGGTGTGATTATGAGTGATTTCATTTTCTTTTTTAGACTTAAATCTTTTTTCCCCAGATCTTCAACAGTATATTGCTTTTATAACAGAAAAATGTTAAATAATAAAACAGGGTAAGAGTTTATCTAGCTAATGCCCAAGTTAGATCAACCTTTAAGTAGTTAAAATTATTCTAGCTCTGAGTGGCAGGAGCAAGCCAGCCTAAACTTGTCTATCAGGTTTAGCTCATAATCCCTTGGAATCCCTGAAGGGAAGTATTACACAATTCTTCACTTAGAACAGCAGCATTTTACGTTTGCACATTGTTAATTGACATAGCAATGGAACAGACTCTGCCTTCAGCTTTATAATCACATCTTTATGCTTGAACTTCAGTAAGAGAAAGTGCATTTTCTTAATCAGAACTGTTAGGCTGTCATGTAGCATCGTGTACTCTCAAGTTGATAAAATACTTGTTTTTGGAAAAGGGAAATCTTTTTTTTTTTTTTTTAATTTTTTTTTTTTTAATGATTTTTTTTTTTTTAAAGATTTTATTTATTTATTTGTCAGAGAGAGAGAGAGTGAGCACAGGCAGATAGAGTGGCAGGCAGAGGCAGAGGGAGAAGCAGGCTCCCCGCTGAGCAAGGAGCCCGATGCGGGACTCGATCCCCGGACTCTGGGATCATGACCCGAGCCGAAGGCAGCCGCTTAACCAACTGAGCCACCCAGGCGTCCCTGGAAAAGGGAAATCTTACACATTGACAGAAAAGAAGTTTTTAAAATCTCTTAAACTCAGTTATTTGGTTTCCCATAAAACATTTGGAGCCAGACTGAAGTAAGTGCCAGAAGTACATGTATATAACTTCTGATTTGGTAGGAAATATGGAACTCATCAAGTCTTTTCTCTGAGGGTTTGAAGTGCCTTTGTGGAATGATATCTCACAGAGTGTATTTAAACTAGACGGCTCAGTAGGTCTCTTACCATCAAAGCTTATTAACCATATTGATAATGACTAACATATTAGTAATAGAGTATACCTTACTCTTAGAAAACAGTTTTTAAAAATTGATATTAAAAAGAGGATTGGTTATTATCCAAAAAGTTTTTTGACAGAAAAAGTATTTCTGTATATGTTTGATTTAACAAAAAATAATTTATGTACATTTCAAACCTCACGAAGTTATGTATGTCTCTAAGAAATTTCTTATCTTTTTCATTAGACAAATAATAAAGTTGTTAAATATGGGTAGGCCAAAAGAAGAAACTTGAAATAATTAGTAATCCTACTACCCATAAATAATTACTTTTGGGACATTATCCGTCTGTTTGTGGCTGTGTGTGTGTGTGTGATCATGCTATGTATACCACTTTGAAACCTAGGTTTTCTTTGTTAATATCATGAGTATTTTGTAATATATTAACTTTCAATTTGCATACATAGTTAAATTTATGATTATTTTTACTTAATGATGTATACCTGTTCTAATCGGTTACTCATTGGCTTTTTAACCCGATTATTTTAAATTCAAAAGGATTATTTGTAATAAACTGGACCCCAATGAAAATGCTTTCCTTTGAGTTTTTTTTTAATTAAACAATTTTTTTTTTATTTGAGTATAGTTGACACACAATGTTACATTAGTTTGGGGTGTACAGCATACATAGTGATTTGACAAGATTATACATTGTGCTGTGTTCCCCACAAGTGTAGCCACCATCTGTCTCAATGCAGTATCATCCTTCCCCCTCTGAGTTGTCTTGTAAGGTGGCCTTGATATGGGAGCAGCCTTACAACTTCAGAAATAACTAACTACTCCTCAAAAGGATATAAGCAAGTCCTACCTTATGACAAATTCTACTTAAAAAGAAGCTTCCAATATATTTCTTAATTTTAACAGAAATGAAAGAATTTGATATATTATCTCTTGGATTCAAACTCTAAAATTTGCTTATTTATATGATTTTCAATGCATAATAACAAAGGATGAGGATTAAGGGTTTGGTCCTAAAGACACAGCAGGCTTTTTTTGTGTGTGCGATTGTATTACAGTTTTAAGAACTTTTTTACATTTATATTTTGAGTAGGTGACACAATGCCGTGAGGGAGAGGGTGGTGGGGTTATGAACATTGGGGAAGGTATGTGCTATGGTGAGTGCTGGTGATTCACAGACCTGTACCCCTGGGGCTAATAATACATTATATGTTAATAAAAAATAAAAAAAAATTTAAAAATTTCAGTTGATAGTGAAGTGGTTAGGGGGCCACTTTCAAAGGGGGCCTTTGCTTTTCTTCTTCCCATTTCCTCACACTTTTTCTGAGATAATCTTTGTTAACAGATCAGTGAGTATTCCTTTTATATCTTTTCCTACTACTTGTGTGTGTGTGTGTGTGTGTGTGTGTGTGTATGTGTACACACACAGACATATGCATATATCTCACAATGTAGTTTGGGGAATATGGAGATTATCTCTATCTTCTATCTGATTACATTATATGTGATGTGCTGCAAGTTGCTTTCTCTCCCCACTAATTCTGTCACAGAATTCTATGATAGTCCATGCAGCTCTACCTCACTCTTTTTAACCTCTCATGGATTCTAGAGTATGAATGTATCATACTTAACTACTACCCTGTTGTTACACATCTAGGTTGTTTGTGATTTTTTCCCAATTTTATTAAGGCTGTGTATGTATGTATATATATATATATATATATATATATATATATATATATATATATATAAAATGGCTTACAAAATGTGTAACATTGCTTCTCTTTAATTTGTGGTAAGCCTGATTCTCTAGTGTTTATATGATTAACTTAACTATTGTGCAACTTGTGAGGAGGAAAATCTGGACCACATTGAGTGATACATCATTAATGTTTTGTGATGATCTTGTCTTTCTAGATAAAATTTGATGCTGGGACCCTCCTTCTTAGTACACACCGACTAATTTGGAGAGATCAGAAAAATCATGTAAGATAAACAGTTTTTAAAAAATCTGTTCTAGGTTTTAAATCATTGAAGTCTTTCTTTCTTTTTGTCAAAACTAAAAAATGCAGTAAATTTCCATTTTCAGAATGTTAAAAGAGTGTGTCTCATGTGATCTTTCTGAATGGAGTGCAGAGAAAGGAGTTAGGGGTTGTCCCTCATTCAGCTCCAGAAAAGTCTGTAATTGCTGAGTAGAGAGAGAATCATGGTCACTCCTGTTTTAAAACACCAGTCAGAACCTACCCCATACCTGAATGTTCTGTGTGTAATGAGAATATTTCTCCCAGTCATTGTCAGGAGTCCTCAGAACAACCTGATCCTGAGACTGGGAGGAACGGTCTGCCAGGAAGTACATGCTTTTACCTAGATATTGAGAAGAATGGCCTCTAAGTCACTCAGCACGAGGAGAAACCTCCCTGTTGTTTCATTTCTAGGAAGAGAGAACAAGTTATGTGTATAAAGCTATTTTAACTCCAAAGAGCTTTAACTTGAAAGTGTATGTGTGTATTGTTGCCAGTAAAAGAAGTAATCTATGGTATTTTCATAATTGCTGCCCCTTCCACCATGAAATTTGAATTTTACAGTCAAACTATATACTGAGGCTCTTTGAAAGGCCACTAACTATTGCAAAATCTGGCTCTTTTTGTCCCCCAAGAATCAGTATTTCCTCCCTTAGTGGTGACATTGCTGTTGTTGGTAACGCATACCTTCCAACTGTTAATGGCATCTAATTCTTTTAAAAGAAGTATGTGTTTAGGAAAAAGTCTTTTTGGAAGATAGGTGTCCTTAAAACATATGTTTATAAACTAATCTTAGTATCATTTTTTGATTTTCATATCAAGAAGCTAATTCAGAAACCCTTAGACCTATTGAATGCCAGTCATTTATAATAACTTAAAATTAAATATACTAATAAAGGGAACCTACATCAGCATTTTCTGTTAAAAATGGTGAGTGAAGTGTAGAAAAAAAGAAAAAAAGATCACCTGTATAGCACTCCTTAAAGTTGTTTTGATTTACCTGTTCTGTCTTTCTTTTTTTTGTTTTCCATAGAAGGATAGCTTACATGTAAAAAGTTTTCATATAAATACTACTTTTATTTTTTAAGATTTTTTTTTTTTAATTTATTTGACAGACAGAGATCACAAGTAGGCAGAGAGGCAGGCAGAGAGAGAGGAAGGGAAGCAGGCTCCCTGTTGAGCAGAGAGCCCGATGCGGGACTCGATCCCAGGACCCTGAGATCATGACCTGAGCCGAAGGCAGCGGCTTAACCCACTGAGCCACCCAGGCGCCCTAAATACTACTTTTAAAAAGATGTACCTATGTTAAAAACGAAGATGGTTACAGCAGCTTTTTTTTTTTTTTAAAGATTATTTACTTATTTATTTGTCAGCAGAGATTACAAGTAGGCAGGCAAGCAGAGAGAGAAGGGGGGAAGCAGGCTCCCTGCTGAACAGAGAGCCCGATGTGGGGCCCAGGACCCTGAGATCATGACCTGAGCCAAAGGCAGAAGCTTAACCCACTGAGCCACCCATGCGCCCGCAGCTTTTAAAACTCTTACATTCTTCCATGTGGCAAAATGCCACCACATTACTGTTTTCATTCCATTTTCCTTCAGTTTATTTAAGGAATAAAATCATTTTATTATTTTTTAAATTGTTTTTATTATTAAGTACAGGTGCATGACACTCTATTAAATACTATAAAACAAGGTTTTCTGACAAGGAGACTTATGAATCACATTTTGTATGGTTTCCTTCTAGGAATGCTGCATGGCCATTCCTCTTTCCCAAATCGTGTTCATTGAAGAACAGGCAGCTGGAATTGGGAAAAGGTGAGGTGTCTCTGAGGCAGTCTTTTTTCACAAAAATGTCCCAGTCAAGCTATTATCAACTTGGTAGATTTATTGTTGTGCCATGACTGCATATGTGGGAATGAATCTAATGATTGTTTTGGGGGGCTTTATAAAGAATAGTCATTGGTCAGAAGCTCCCCTAGGAAGATACTTACTACATTAAACTCATGGATAAATGGACAAATTAAGTACTACGATTTGCTGTAATATCCTTGGGTCAAAATAAGTAAGTGTCGGCCAGCTGTCATTGCATGTCTTTCCACAAGCATTCGCTTTGACTTGTCTGTGAATCTAATACTTAAAATCAGAAGTGACTCATCCGATAAAAATGACTGAGTTTACTCCTATTTCTAGTTGATCATTAAGTTTCTTCACTTTGACATTTTTGGATATCAGTGTTAAATAGAGTTTCATAATATTTATTGTTCAAACTGGGACATTTATAAAAGTAATAGGTGGTGCTGTTTATTATATTTAATCATTTTTTTAAAAGATTTACTTATTGAGAGCAAGAGAGCGAGTCAGGACGGTGAGGGGAGGGGCAGAGGGAGAGAATCTTTCAAGCAAACTCCCCACGGAGCATGGAGCCCAAAGAGGAGTTTGGCAGAGGAGCTTGATCCCACGACCCATGAGATCATGACCTGAGCTAAAACCAAGAGTCTGATGCTTAACTGACTGAGTCATCCAAGTGCCCTGGGGGTGCGGTGTTTATAATTGGATCAAGGAAGCATAAAATGGGACAGTTTTAGGCAAACCAGGACATGTCATCACCCTGGTTTAAAGCCGCACGTTAAAATGTTTCTTTTTAATCAAGTACAGAAAAATCTGGCTTTTATTTTAAGTGCATATAATTGAGGGCAACTTATGAACAAGTATTGCTGATAAGAATTTTGTTTTCCTTGTGGGCCCATTTTGAGCTTTAGTATAGTTATTTCAGTAGAGGTGAAACAAATACAGAACTTCACTGAAAATGCAATGCATGCATTAGTTATAGTGTATAGCTAGCGTGCAAGATTGTTTATTTGACATAAAAGAAACTGACATTTTAGAAAGGTTAATAAAAGTACAGACTTTAGGTGATTTCTATAATTTTTATTTTTCTCTTTTTCACTTTTTTCCATCTGAAGTTTTTTGTTTTTTTTTTTTTTAAGATTTTACTTATTTATTTGACAGAGAGATATCACAAGTAGGCAGGGAGGCAGGCAGAGAGAGAGGGGAAAGCAGGCTCCCTGCTGAGCAGAGAGCCTAATGTGGGGCTCCATCCCAGGACCCTGAGAACATGACCTGAGCTGAAGGCAGAGGCTTAACCCACTGAGTCACCCAGGCACCCCTCTTCTTTTTTTAATGAAGGTACAATTGCATACAACATTGTATGAGTTTCGAGTGCACAACATAATGATTCGATATTTGTGTATATTGCTTTTCTTAAGTTCTATAAAGTAAAACTTGAAGGTGTTGCAAATCATTTGAATTTTCCTCTGCTGTGTTCCAAGAAAATTTAAACTGTATAACAAAAATTGTTTAAAATATTTATCTTCCTGGGTGCCTGGGTGGCTCAGTTGTTAAGTGTCTGCCTTCTTCTCAGGTCATGATCTTAGGGTCCTGGGATCCAGCCCCACATTGGGCTCCCTGTTCAGCAGGAAGCCTTCTTCTCCCTCTCCCACTCCCCCTGCTTGTGTTCCCTCTCTCGCCATGTCTCTCTGTCAAATAAATGAAATCTTTAAAAAAAAAATGTTTACCTTCCCATTAGTATCTTATTTTTTAAACATCTCCAGTGAGGAAGAATTTAATAATATGTCACGTAAACATTTCTCAGATATTCTCTTTATTCTCGGCCCCCTTGCCCCAAGCAATTACCATATTTCATTGATTCAAAATTGTCCATATAGTTTCACCTTTTAACCTGTCCCCTCCCAAGATCCTTCTCTGATTGGGTGGTTTTTAAACTTGAAATATGGTAATTGAATGACCTGCGAAATGAATATATTTAAAAACTGGCCTGGATCTTTTTTGCCGACTTGGAGATTTTTTAAACTTCACTTTGTCTTATAATCTTCAGTTCTTCACTGAGTTTCCTTTGACAAAATCTGATCGTGGGGCTCAGGTTTTTCTGTTTTAAAGATTATGTAATTCTTTGCTTAGTTCCCTTAACCTGATTGTCGTATTTGGTTGCTCTACCTGACAGTTCATGTCAGACAGTCCTATTACAGTGACTGCAGTTTATTTGCTCAGTCACTTAAAGAAGTTCACCACAGAGGAATAGGTGAAGAGTCCTTACAAGTCTATCCCCAGTTTACTAACCAAAGCATTTATTACACTGACGAGGCCCCACACACAGTGTTTCAGTTTCACAGCGATATTTAGGAATTAAATGGACCTAAAGGAAATAGAATAATAAATAAGCGGACCTGTAATGTGGTCATAAGGGAAAAGCTCTACGCTGCATATCCAAAGTATTTTGACTGAGTTTTTTGGTTTTGCTAATTTATGGAAGCAGACTGTTTATTGAACAGGTTAGGGAAAAAGACTTACAAAACTGAACAAATATACCAGTATTTTTAATAGCACAGGAGACAACGGTAGTTATAAAGATTATGGTAGTTTGTGTTTCTAGCATAGCAGCATTTTGAGACTTGTTTTTGCTGTTGGATTATCTTCTAGATCATGCTGTTGATTGAGTGGCGTTTTCCAAAAATGATCCTGTAGAATGTTAGTTTTGGATGGAGTTTTAATAAAATGTCAGCTGGCCAGTTTTACACAGATAAGTTTTCATATTTTGTTTTCAAATGACTAGGGTAGTATGCTTTGGCAGAAAGTATAGGCCCCCCGGTAACCTTTGGGTTTGACTTTGTACATGGAAAACCCTAATCGTAAACCAAAATAATGAACTGTCACACATTTGGCCAATTTATTTTGAACTTATTTTTTTTGAAACCACATTTTTAATCTATAGAGCTGGTAACTTGAACTTCTTGGTTCAGAGCTTAAAAGCTGTAAGTAGAGGTGTTTTGGTTTTTTGTTTTGTTTTGTTTTGTTTTTGTTTTTACAGAGAGAGGGAGATCACAAGTAGGCAGAGAGGCAGGCAGAGAGCGAGGGGGAAGCAGGCTCCCTGCTGAGCAGAGAGCCTGATGTGGGGCTTGATCCCAGGACCCTGGGATCATGACCCGAGCCAAAGGCACAGGCTTAACCCACTGGGCCACCCAGGCGACCCAGTAGAGGTGTTTTTGAAAGTTTCATTAATACTGAATTAATACACAGTTTATAAGGATTCCTTTCAGGATGTATATAAATTTTAAAAGTGAACTTAACTATATTAAAAATTATGAAAACAGAATTAGTGATTCTTAAAAGGTAATTAAATTCATTACATTTATTCTGTAGTGCCAAAATAGTGGTTCATCTTCACCCAGCTCCACCCAACAAAGAACCCGGTCCATTCCAGAGCAGTAAGAACTCCTACATCAAACTCTCCTTCAAAGAACATGGCCAGATTGAGGTAGGTTTTTATATGCGTAAAATTGGACTAGAAAGGTGTGCTTGTGTGTGTTTTTGTTGTTGTCTGTTAATATGATGTAAATTGTTACTGTTTAACATACCAGGTTTCACCATATTTTACAATAAAATTTTTATATCTTAAGCCTTAGCAGTAGAAAATATGAGGTTTAGGTTTTGGTGGGAATTGGAGGCTGGAGGGTGTGGTTCCAAGGAAAAGCAGAAGCTGGAACTATGCTAAGTCAATGCTGTTAGGCTACTAGTAAAGTTTTCAGTGGTTTGGTTAAAGAGGCAGAGTATAATGCAGTGAAATGTTGAACCCTCTCAGTATCTGATAGCTCACAGCCTTAAGGCAGGATGTCTTTCCTCCTGACTCCACACAAATCTAATCACTGAAGTACTTACTCCATAGTATGATAGTTTACATGTTCTGATTAGTAAGTCACTGGATAAGTATTCTTCAGACATTTACAAGTACGTATTTATCTCCTCATTGATACCCTAAATTATTTATGTGGTTTTCTATGGCACTTCACCCATCCCTCCTCACACAGTAGGCACTAAGCAAATATAAGTGACTAACTGAAATCATTCTCACTATAGTTGATTTTTTGTGAGTGTAGGGATGTTTTGGCCCTAGTTTCTGGCTTCACATTTTACCTAGATGAATTATTCTCTGCTTCCTTCATGGATAATGATTGTATATTTTTCTTGGCACTATATCTGTTTCACTATAGATTGAAAACAATCCACATATGTGGGATTGTTTAAAGTAGGTCTATTTATTCATTGTCACTCATCTCTTTGTTGAGAATAGCTCACTTTATATAGAAGGTCAGTTTCTTTCTTTTTTTTTTTTCCTTTGTGCTTTATGAAGCTGATCCAAGAAGAGAACTTCCTTTGGTTTCCTTTGATGTTTCTGAGACTTCTAGGCTTGTTGCAAGTGACTGAACAGGACTTTCAACTAAAGAAATGTTAAGTAATGATTTCTATGAGGATATTTTAACCTGACTGACTCCTTAAAGTGAATATATGTGTACAACAGTTTTACAGGCGTTTATCTGAGGAAATGACACAGAGAAGATGGGAGAATATGCCAGTTTCCCAATCATTGCAAACAAATAGAGGACCCCAGGTATTGTTAAGACTATTTCTTAATCCAATATGTTTGGTTCTGTACTTGCATCTTCATTAAAGGAAAAGATTTCTGTGATTATAGAACTTTGCCAGAAGCAAAATAATGATATTCTGATTAAAATCGTTTGTATTCATAGAACCTAATTTAGTGCTCTGCAGACAGCAGACACTTAGCAAAAATAAACGACCGGGGACCAGAGTGATTCTTGGGGTGGTAGAAGTTAGATTCTGTTCATTACATTCTGTTCTTCATAATCAGTGTGGCATCTGAGAGAACGGACAATGCCTCTGGGTGATGTTTCTCAGCCAGTCTAAATTAACCACGAACCATGCGCTGACACTCAAATGTGTGAAAGTAGTTTGTATAATAACCGTCAAATACCAAAATTTTAACTACAATTTCTTGCCTGTTTGAGACCCTATAAAATATCTGATACATACATAATAGCTTGCCAAAGAACAAACATGAATTTAACTTATATCTAAAATACAGGGTAAAATATGCCAGTTATTGTATGTTTAGTTTTTTTAATAATGATTTGAAAATCATTATGTATGACAAGAAACTGATAAATGTTTTGAAAGGAAACCAGATGTAATCGTGTGCTGGTTTTCTTTGGTTCTTTGTGGGTCCCTTCCCGCCATTGAAAACACATTGTGGTGTGTTGTAAAAGAGTGGGTCCTTCCTATTTTGTATGTTTTATTTTCTACTTTTGTTTTTCAGCCAGGAAGAATAAGGGCTGTAGGAATTGTAGGCATTGAAAGGAAATTGGAAGAAAAAAGGAAAGAAACGGACAAAAACATTTCTGAGGTAGCTAATATATAAGTTCCGGTCAGCTTTTTTGGCCATTTGTGCATATTCTTTTGGATGTAGCTGTGACTAATTCCATTCTGTGTATTAGAATATGTTTAGTTTGCCTGAAGCCACAGTCCCTTATTCCAAGTCTCCTTCAGGTTGGTATGATTTGGTTAAAACATGTTTTAAAAAACTTTTTCCAAAAAGAAAAATGAAACTCAAATTTGTTTTCTGTGATGTTAGAAAACATTGTGGGTTGCTGTGTGTAAATTTTAAAACCTAGATGGAATTGATTGGAGAATCCTCCTAATGAGTTCTGGTCCTCTGTATGATTATTTGGACTTTTGGTTAGCTTAGTTGAGGGGAAAATGCTGTTCTGTGGCTGTTAACCTTGCCGGACACCACACAGTTTTCTACCACTGATGCTCAGGGACCAGACACAGACACAATAAGAAAGGCACAGACCATCCCATCCCTTCCACCAGGAGAACAGCTGTGAGCATGTACTTTGCGGTGTTTCTGCAACTTCATCATATTTGAGGAAATGCAAGTGAAAGGGAAAGCAGTCTAGTTAAGCAGTTACGCGTGCTAGATTCTGCGGTTAGCTACTACATCAGAGCATGTCATTGGTCTTCCTGTGTTTATATAAAATTGGTCTGGGATTTTTTATGAAATGACTCTATGAAATAATTCTTTAATTTTTAATAGGAGTTTATAAGTAAAATCCCATTGACTAGTGCTGTTCATAGAATTTCAAAGGTGGTATATCAATCAAAGTCTAAACTGCAAATAGTTATGGGATACCTGTATTAATCAAGAATTCAATATTCTCGAAAGAAACAACCAATAGTAGATATATAGATATCGCTATATAGATGTAGATATCAATGTATCCCTCTCTCTATATATACACATACAATGCCATTTAATATAAGGAATTGACTCATGTGATTGTGGGGACTGAAGAGTCCACAATCTGCCTCCTGCAAGCTGGTGACCCAGGAAAGCTGGTGATAGAAATCCTAAACTGAGTCCGAAGGCCTAAGAACCAGGAACGCTGGTGGTTTAGGTCCAGCTCTAGGGCAGCGTAAGACTACTGTTTTGGCTTAACCAGTCAGGCAGGAAAAGCATGAGTCCTCCCCTCCTCCAACCCTTTGTTCAGGCCTTCCGTGGATTGGATGATGCCCACCCCCAGTGAGGAGGGTAGTTCTGCTTCTGCCCACCAATTCACATGCTAACCTCATGTGGCAGTACCCTCACAGACCCATCAGCCATATTTGATCAAGAACCTGGGCACCCCATGATCTAGTCAAGTCAACATATAAAATTAACCACCATATTACCAGTTCTGGGCCCACTAGCTTGAAAATACAGATCCTTGAGAAACCAAGGTCATTTGACCTATTAAGTGCCCTTGGTCTAGGTTTTGCTGGTCTCATCTATATGGTAAAGTTGTATGTGTTCCTCAGCTCTGAGTATTTCCTACAAAATGGCAGCTGGATCCAGAGGCCTGATCAGATGCATGTTTGATCTCTTTGCTGAGACTAGCGGTGATGCTGTATTCTTTCCTAAGGAGGCACACCATGTCTTTGTGGACAATGGCAGCAGCTGTTCATGTTCATTGCCTACTTCTGTTGGTCCACCGGTGGTTACAAATGGTGATATTCTAGGATTTATTTTTTGTTAGTTAGAATACATTTTGAAGAGATGCTTCCCTTCATCTACTATTTGACTACTCAGTGATGTAGTTCATACAGGGAAGCAGAGTAAGTGCCTTTTTCTTTATCATCAGGGTAATAAATTGGTTCCTTATCATCCTCTAATGGCAACTCACTAGAGGTTTTTTTACATAGTAGTATGAATTTACAAATCTTAACATATTTGATGGGTTTCAATCAGTTGCAGTTATTATCCTGTTTAAAGCTCATACTGTCCCATCTTTGGCAGTGGGAGCCTCTTTAGGTTGGCTCCTGAGTGCTTTTGACGTGACCTGGTGGACTTTGGTAGCTTCCTTACTATCTAGGGTGGCAAAAGTTCCAGGACCTGCTTGTTTATTTCCTGCCCCAGATTTGGAATCAGCCATTACCTGAGAAGTCACTGTTTTCCCTAGATGCCCAGAGGCTTTTTTCCCCCTCTCTATTTTATAAAGCCCAGTAATTTTGCTAGAATGTGTTGATGTGTTAGTCATTCTGGATTGTTATTCTCAGGTACACAATATGCTCTTAGTATTTGGTTCTAGAAATTGTTTCTTTTAATTTCAGGGAATTTTTAAAAAATTTTTAAGTTTTGATAATTGTTTTTTTTATTTTTCCTCTCTGAGACTATTAGCTGTATGCTACAGTTCTACTTCCTAGCTTTACCTTATGTGACTTTCTGTTTTTTTAGATTTTATTTATTTATTTGTCAGAGAGCAGGGGCTGCAGCAGGCAGAGGGAGAAGCAGGCTCCCTGCTGAGCAAGGAGTCTAGTGTCAGACTCGATCCCAGGACCCTGGGATCATGAGCTGAGCTGAAGGCAGACGCTTAGCCAACAGAGCCACCCAGGTGTCTCCCCCCACTTTGTGACTTTCAAACCCTTTTTTATCTCTTTCATTTCTTTTTTATTAGGAAATTTCCTTCTTCCTAACCTGTTGTTTCTCTTAAGATTCTATCTGTTGTGTTTATTCATTCTTATGTTCCAATATCATCTTTATTTCTGAAATTATTCTTTCAAAAATTCTTTCCTGAATCATGTCACTTCATTTCTGATTTATTTTATCCATTCACGGCTTATGTCATTTTATTAACATCTTTTAGCTCATGTTGAAAATAAAAGGTTAAATTTTTATCTGATCTGTGAGCATGTCTTTCCAGCTTGCTTTTGTTGTCTGTAATATTATTCTACTCCTTATTTTCTTTTTTCTATAATAACTTTGTGTGGCATTTGACCTTGATACTTTGCTATTTTTCATGTGAAGTTCGTTTTTGTGAACTTTGAGAGGAAGGCCTGGTAGCTTGTCTAGGTAGCTTGTCTCTTCTACAGAACTCTCTCTTCTCCTGTGTTCATGCAGCGTTAAAAAAAGGTGATGGCTTGCTTTCTGATTTCCTGGCCCTATATTCTTTTCCCCTTATTTTTATCTAGACCTTTATTTTGCCCTTCCTCTCTTCTTATTCTTATCTTGCTCAGTTTTTGAATCCTCTGTTAGCGGTTTCTCCCTGGTGTAGGATCCCCTCCTGGAAGGGAAGACTGGAGGGCCAGCCCTTCCTGAGAACCCCTCATACCCACCATTATCGAAGTGGGTGAAAACCTCCTTGTTTCAGTTCCTGTCCTCACATTGGCTAGACTCTCTTTCCAGTGACACCTGTGGACTCCTTTGGGGTTCTCTTGTTGTGGAAGCCATCACTTGCCCTGTTGCTTCCCTTTTCTTTCTCCTTCCTAGAGGCGGAGAGCATGCCGATCTTGTGGCTCTTCGTGGTTTGTCCCTACCTACTTGTATCTTGAGGTTTTTGTATTGCTATCTTGTCACTTAGTTTTACAGTATATGCTGCCTGTGGATTTTTGGTTTTGAGATCTAGTTGCCCTCTCTGTCTTTATGTTGGGATTTGGAGAGATTCAGAAACTTTGCTGCCATAGCCATCATTTTCCCAGAATCTTTAAATTCATAAAGTTCAGAATTTTGGCATTACAGGAGTTCTTACTATCCAGAGAAGTAATCATCTCAGAGCTAGTGACTAGCTTTGGAAGCAGGGTGTGAGAACTCAGGTCTCCTGATTTGCAGACAAGTGTGGTCCTCCTATGTCATGGCCCCTCTCTTTGCCATTTGGAAGGTACTATCATCACTGTCCTAGTTCGGTGACATTTGTTGTCATCTTTTTGTGTGACACTTATGGAGATGGCATAGAGCAGTGAACTGATTTTGAATTACTAGTATTTTTCTGAGTGGTGCCATGCTAATGCGGTGTTCAAAATCATGTTTTTCCTAATTTATGAAATGCTATTCCGTTTCAATCTAATCTTCACACAGTTGCGTAGCTCAAAGAATTTAACACAATCATCGTGTTCTCTCACCTAGGTCAGTGATTTATTCACCAGGTGGTCCTTGCTCTCTACTTTGTGCAAGTAGTACCTTACGCAAAAGTACTACATCAGGTAGATGTTCTAGATACGACAGTGCAAGACAGGCAGGCAAACAGGTGTTCTCTACAGTGGGAAAAATGCCATGGTAGAGAAAATAGTGGGTGCAACAGGAACATATTACATGGCCTCTTACTTCTTTGGGTGTCAGAGAGGCCTTGTTAGCAAATGTAATGGAAGCCAAGGCCTGAAAGTTTAGCAGTGACTGGCAGATGACTAGTAGGGGTAAAAGGATCCAGGTAGAGGGAACAGAATAAGTAAAGGTAGAGAATCAAGAAAATTTGATTTTCTTGAGGCAGGGGCGGGGGCGGCGCCTGGGTGTCTCAGTTGGTTTAGCATCCAGCTCTTGATTTTTGCTCAGGTCATGATCTCCGTGTCCTGGGATTGAGCCCTGCACTGGCTCAGGGCTGAGCGTGGAGTCTGCTTAGGATTCTCTTTCTCTCCCTCTCCCTCTGCCCCTCCTGAGCATGTGCACATACAGTCTCTTAAAAAACAAACATACAAACATACAGTCTCTTAAAAAACAATAAAACTAAAACAGAAAATTCAAGAATATATTGATAGTTACTAAAGCTAATAACCAAAATAATGACTGAAAGCAAGAAATAATGCGATAAATCAATTTATAAGGATACTTTTAAAGCAGGTGCCCCCCCCTTTTTTTTTAAATTGGAGTGGAGATTTGACTGTGATTATGGCAGAGGGATAGATGATTCAATAAAGAGGCAGTTAAAATGATAGAATGGGCAAATGCATCTATCTTGCCTTTGTGTGTATATTGCTTTAATTTCATTATGGGTAGTTTCTCTATTTTTTAGATAATTGGCAAATTCCAAATTTTAGAACAATAATATAGATAGAAGTAAGGAAACTTTTGTGTTGTTGTTGTTGTTGTTTTTTAAGATTTTATTTATTATTTACCAGAGAGAGAGAGTGTACAGGCGGGCAGAGTGGCAGGGAGAGGCAGAGAGAGAAGCAGGCTCCCCGCTGAGCGAGGAGCCCGATGTGGGACTCGATCCCAGGACCCCAGGATCATGACCTGAGCTGAAGGCAGTGGCTTAACCCACTGAGCCACCAGGCACCCAAATTTTTGTGTTTTATGATTACTTAAAATGCAGGTATTCTAACATACTAAAATATTTGTATTTATTTTTTACGGACTGTAAGAAATAGCACTAATTTATGTATTCTATATTTGGTGTAGAGTCACTGTTACTTTTAGCATATTCTTTATATGAAAATGTAACACAGTAAATAAAGAGATTTACCATAAAATTTTAAAAAGTGTTCTCTAACTAGTTTTCTTTACACAGGTAAGAGAAGTCTATCAATATTTTGCATTATTGAAGTAAGAATCTAAGTGTATAAAGTGTGTGTGTTTTATTTTTGAAAACTAGGTTGGTGTGTTATTTGCCTTCCATTTAAATGTTAGAACTGACTTAGCTTCAGAGCTGGTGCCCAGAATTTCCCACAAAAGGTTTCCTGCATCTGCTGGCTGTTGCTGATAAGAATCCAGTGTTTCAGCCTTTTGTTTATCTGAGGAAATTCCTGTTAGGTGTGTGCACATTCCCCTTTGTTTTCAGTATTAGCCTTAATAAGTCTGGCCATAAGAATCTCACACAGCACTCTATTCTTCTAGCAAAATCCTTTTGCAGATAGGGGATACTTTTCTGCCTGTAATTAAGATGGGCATGAGCTAATCAGAATCTGTGGACCACTATTCTGTATGGCCCAAAAGATTTTTCATTTAATGATAAGCTGCTTAATTGGTTTAAAAAATAACGTCCGTGCACATCATTTGGAAGATGTTCGTTACTGGAAGTATAGTTTTGGCCACATGAAATAAATTTATTATAAATATGTCTGATTAAGTTTGAGGAAGACTTTGAAGTGGATATTCATTGTAGGAAATCAAACTACCGATGAGTTTTATATAAGTATGTTTGGGTGGTATTTGAATGTTTTTCTTTTGTGATAGCCACTATATACAAGGCTACAAGTATAATCTGTTCAATATTTAGAGGCTGAGGTTTTCAGTCTCAGTTAAATCACACCTGCTATGAAAGCCAAAATTGTTGTGCCCAAGGAAGTATTCCGGCAGCTGCACATTGCCATTTTCTACCAGGAGGGCATCACAAAGCCTTTGATTTTTGACCTCCTGTCAGGAAATGGTTTGGGGAAAAACCAGTGACAAATTTTCTTACTTGTGTGAAAGAACAGAAAATAATATTTTTCTCAACAATGTATTACTTATGTCACCCTTTGTTTAATCAATAATAACTGTTTTCTCTTGGAAAATGTAAAAAGTCTTTTTTTGCAGTTTGTTTTTGGAAAATGCATGGTTTCTTAGCTAAATCAAATTCTTAGAATAAGATGGGTTTATTACTTATGTAAATATTTGTATAAATTTAAAAAAAATATTTGTATAAATTGATATTTGTAGGACATTTTCAAAAATGTTTGTCTAAGGGAAGAAAATAGAGTATTCCGTTGCTTTAAAACACTCTAGTTCTTTAGATAGATTCCAACAAAAACTCATTTCTCATTTCAGGCCTTTGAAGACCTCAGCAAGCTAATGGTCAAGGTATGTGTACTTTACACCTGTTGGATTCCTACCAATTATGATAGGAGTTTTGTTAACAGACACTTTGGGGACATGATTTTTTTCAGTCTTTTACTGTTCTCTTGACAGGCTAAGGAAATGGTGGAGTTATCAAAATCAATTGCTAATAAGATCAAAGACAAGCAAGGTGACATCACAGAAGATGAGGTAAATAGGTTGCCTTTTAAGTCATTAGAAACCAGATTGGACAAATAATGCAGTGATGTTTTGGTGGGTCAGCAGTTTCTTTCTTAATGTAGTGATTTCTGTTAGGGCTTGTGGATATATGAAAGTATTAAAGAAAAAGCCAGCCAATAGGATTAAAAGATACTTCAGTACCTTCTCTTGGAGTGTGGAAAAGAGAGATAGTGAAATGTGTAAGGAGTGGTTGTTTTATACATATCCATATGTTTGATATTTGTTTCATTAAATTTATCTCCAGGCTGATCCCAGCCACATTCCTTTCTAAGTTTTTGGCTCTGTCATTTGGTTGGCATTAAATACAGCACAGTTGTTTCCTAACCCTCTTCTCACTCCAGACCTGTGAGGTTAGTGGAGTATGAAATATCAAAACAGGAGAAGGAAGAAGACTAATTAATTAGCTTTATGCAGGGAACTCCTAGAAATCCAGTTTCTTCGAGTTTATACTATAGGAACAAGGTGGAAGAAATGGGTGGATATAGAAATAACTAGTAGAATTGAGTTTACGGTGGAAAGATTTCAAATGTTGGGGTGGAGAGATGAATGCCGCTTATTTGTCTTTTTGTGCATGTTCTTCTCTACTTATAGACCATCAGGTTTAAGTCCTATTTGCTGAGCATGGGAATAGCCAACCCAGTTACCAGGGAAACCTGCGGCTCGGGCACACAGTACCACATGCAGCTGGCCAAGCAGCTGGCTGGGATGCTGCAGGCGCCGCTAGAGGTAAAAACAGGGCGCAGGCAGGCTCTCGGTTGTGTGAAGTAACTGCCAAGTCATCGTAAGGTTAAACACCAGCTTCACATTCCTTTCCCAGCGCTGCTCCTGTTCATCCCACATGTTATTTTTCCTTTTAGGAATATTAAATCAGTTTGGTCTACTTATTCGTGGATTTGTTGTCAAAATCTAGATTGTTTTCAATTTCCACCTCAGGTATCTGTAACTTCTTCAGTCTCTTTGATAGAAAGTTTTTCTTATCTCTGATTTTCAAAAGGAAATATATGATCTCGAGATGTTTAGAGACATTTAGATGTTTGGATGTTAATACAAGTGTGCTGTTAATCATCTCATAATACAGATTTATCTTCTGACATTACTCAGGCAATCAAAACTCCATTCATTAAAACGCTTATGTTAAGAAGTATTTCCATCGTGACAAAATAGAATAGTATGATGAATCCCTGTGTGCCTGTTATCCAGGCTCGTGTGTAAGCAGCCTTCACTCAATATCACTTTAAAGCAATCCCAGACATCGCATCACTATGTAAACTTTCAGTATGTAATTACAATGATAAACATGCTTTATATGTAATTATAATCCCGTTTCACACAGGAAAAGTGAAAAATAATTTTTTAGTATTTTCAAATATCTAGTTAGTATTCACATTTTCTCTTACAGTTAGTTTGTTCAAATCAGGATACCTTGCAATCGGTTGATTTTTCTCTCAACGCCTTTTTTTTTAAAATTCCATGTTTCCCCTTCTCTTATCTCTTTTTTCTATTCCACATAATGTATTTATTAAAGAAGCTAGTGGTTTATATTATAGAGTGTCTCAGATTTTATTGATTTTAAATCATGTATTCCTTATAGACTGGAATTTATTCCTTATAGACTGGAATTTACAGCTAGAAGTTCTTTTTTCTTTTTTTCTGTTGAATATTTCATAGAGTGTGCTGTGCATTTCCATCAGGGGGTACATAATGCCTGTTTGTCTTTTTTTTTGTGATGTAGCAGCAGCCCCTGCTATTCAATAGCTAGATCTGTTAACTTCATTTGGGCTTACAGTGGTGATATTCCTGTTTAATTTCATAGTTTACTCATTTATTATTTGTAATAACTTAAAACATTTCAATATACTTTTTGAAACGTGGTGTAGAAGCCCTCCTCTCATTGAAGTAAATGTTAAAACAGTAATAATGGAATTCAGTAAAGTGTCAGGATATAAAATCAATGCACAGAAATCAGTTGCATTTCTCTACACCAACAACAAGACAGAAGAAAGAGAAATTAAGGAGTCAATCCCATTTACAATTGCACCCAAAACTATAAGATACCTAGGAATAAACCTAACCAAAGAGGCTAAGTATCTATACTCAGAAAACTATAAAGTACTCCTGAAAGAAATTGAGGAAGACACAAAGAAATGGAAAAATGTTCCATCCATGCTTCTGGATTGGAAGAATAAATATTGTGAAAATGTCTATGCTAACTAAAGCAATCTACACGTTAAATGCAATTCCTATCAAAGTACCATCCATTTTTTTCAAAGAAATGGAACAAATAATCCTAAAATTTATATGGAACCAGAAAAGACCGTGAATAGCCAAAGGAATGTTGAAAAAGAAAGCCAAAGTTGGTGGCATCACAATTCCGGACTTCAAGCTCTACTACAAAGCTGTCATCATCAAGACAGCATGGTACTGGCACAAAAACAGACACATAGATCAATGGAACAGAATAGAGAGCCCAGAAATAGACCCTCAATTCTATGGTCAACTAATCTTCGACAAAGCAGGAAAGAATGTCCAATGGAAAAAAGATAGCCTCTTCAATAAATGGTGTTGGGAAAATTGGACAGCCACATTCAGAAAAATGAAATTGGGTCATTTCCTTACACCACACACGAAAATAGACTCAAAATGGATGAAGGACCTCAATGTGAGAAAGGAATCCATCAAAATCCTTGAGGAGAACACGGGCAGCAACCTCTTTGACCTCAGCCGCAGCAACATCTTCCTAGGAACATCGCCAAAGGCAAGGGAAGCAAGGGCAAAAATGAAGTTTTGGGATTTTATCAAGATCAAAAGCTTTTGCACAGCAAAGGAAACAGTGAACAAAACCAAAAGACAACTGACAGAATGGGAGAAGATATTTGCAAACGACATATCAGATAAAGGGCTAGTGTCCAGAATCTATAAAGAACTTAGCAAACTCAACACCCAAAGAACAAATAATCCAATCAAGAAATGGGCAGAAGACATGAACAGACATTTCTGCAAAGAAGACATCCAGATGGCCAACAGACACATGAAAAAGTGCTCCATATCACTCGGCATCAGGGAAATACAAATCAAAACCACAATGAGATACCACCTCACACCAGTCAGAATGGCTAAAATTAACAAGTCCGGAAATGACAGATGCTGGCGAGGATGCGGAGAAAGGGGAACCCTCCTACACTGTTGGTGGGAATGCAAGCTGGTGCAACCACTCTGGAAAACAGCATGGAGGTTCCTCAAAATGTTGAAAATAGAACTACCCTATGACCCAGCAATTGCACAACTGGGTATTTACCCTAAAGATACAAACGTAGTGATCCGAAGGGGCACGTGCACCCGAATGTTTATAGCAGCAATGTCTACAATAGCCAAACTATGGAAAGAACCTAGATGTCCATCAACAGACGAATGGATAAAGAAGATTTGGTATATATACACAATGGAATACTATGCAGCCATCAAAAGAAATGAAATCTTGCCATTTGCGACGACGTGGATGGAACTAGAGGGTATCATGCTTAGCGAAATAAGTCAATCAGAGAAAGACAACTATCATATGATCTCCCTGATATGAGGGAGAGGAGATGCAACATGGGGGTTAAGGGGGTAGGAGAAGAGTAAATGAAGCAAGATGGGATTGGGAGGGAGATAAACCATAAGAGACTCTTAATCTCACAAAACAAACTGAGGGTTGCTGGGGGGAGGGGGTTTGGGAGAGGGGGGGTGGGGTTATTATGGACATTGGGGAGGGTATGCGCTATGGTGAGTGCAGTGAAGTGTGTAAACCTGGCGATTCACAGACTTGTACCCCTGGGGGGAAAAATATATTATATGTTTATAAAAAAAATGAGATAGTATCATAAATAGCTTTATGCCAATAAATCTGACAATTTATATAAATGATTAAAAAAAACCAGTAATAATGATGTTAAAATCCACATACTGAATTTGAAATGCTTCATGTATCTGACTAGGTTTTCCTGTGTGTAAATTTAGTTTTTAAAGACTTTTTAGGAAGTTCTATGATTCTTGATTTCACTCTGATTATGATTTCTGTTAAGAAATGCCAACTGGTGCTAATTATAACCTAATACTTGCTAAATTCCATATTTTAACAGGAACGAGGGGGAATAATGTCACTCACGGAGGTGTACTGTTTAGTAAACCGAGCTCGAGGAATGGAAGTAAGAATAGAACATTTAGATATTCTTTAACTAAATATAGACTTTCTTAATATAACACAAATTCCCCAAAGTGAATACAATTTGAGGAAGGGTTGAGAATACCAGAACTCTCTGAGAAGCAGTGTGGTGTAGTACAAGAGTGCTCTACTGCCTTGGGATCTGGGAGGAAGACTCTGTCCCTTGTTTTGCAAGTGTTGTGCTTAGTGACCTGGAGTAGCTCACTGAACCTCACTGAGACTCGGTTTCCCTACCTTTGAAATGGGAATTTGGGTTGACTGATACCTTCTGGCTTTACTATTCCGTGTCCATACTGTGATTAATAAGCCTGTGTATGATGTCTTTTCTCTAGGGTTGTCAACTGTTTTTAGATTCACTGGGTTGGAGACAGATGGTCTGTGGAGAAGCCGGGGGAAAGCTGCCCTCCTCCACGGGCTTGGAATAAGCAGTGGCTGTTTTTTGACCCTCATTGTCTCTTCACACCCACGTGTCCTTGGCCCCCCATGTTCTGTCCGTGCACTCTTTGTGCCCTTTAGTCAAACACAGTTGTGGTGTCAGTAGTTGCCTCTGTGCGAATAGCTCATAGACCTGTCCCTCCAGCGCTCGCTGCAGCGCCGTATATTTGAGCCTCTGCTGTGTCTTCATCTGACTGGTCACCGTGAGTGCCATCAGTGAGTACTGACTATGAGCCAGGCGCTCTGCAGGCACTGCCCCATTTCTTCTCGTGGTACCCCAGGGAGGTAGTCACTCTCACTCTGCCCATCAAGGGCATGATATGAAGATGAGGAAGTTGAGGCTCACAAAGATTCACTTACTTGACCAAGGCTGTGCCTTGGAAACAGTGGTTTGACAGGCACGTGGCCCCAGGCCGGGCTGGCTCTGGAGCTGTTCTGGGTGACTCAAAGCTGTACTTGTCAGCCACCATGCTGGGCAGATTCTTTAAGGTTGTGTGGTCTGGAAGGGTGGCCAGTAGCTAGCTACATGTGACAACTGTGACCTTGCAATACAGTTAATCCAGCTGGAGCTATGCTAGAAGTATCAATTATATGCCACATGTAGGAGACTTTGTACCAAATAAGAAGTTTAAATATCTCCTTAATAATTTTTATATTGATTATATATTGATGTTTTAGATTTCTTGGGTTAAATGAAACACATGTGTTAAAGTTAATTTCACCTGTCCCTTTTTATTTTATTAATGACTACTAATATTTTATTAATATTAAAATTATACACATGGCTTGTGCTGTTTTCTGTTAGATAGTGCTGCTTTGCTTCTTTAATTCTTTTTGCCTTAGAGTGATGAAGCCACCTAAAATCCCTGATAAATGATAATTTTTATGTTTTTATTTAAAAAAAATTTTTTTTAACTAGACTCCATGGGCCAACATGGAGCTTGACTCATGACCCTGAGATTAAGTCACAGATAGATGATAATTGTTAAGTTTCCTCTTGTGTTTTAGTGATCATTATAATTATATAACATCACTCTATTAATTTGCAATGTAAACTGGATTTTTTTTTTTTTTTCCTATTAGTTGCTCTCACCAGAAGATTTAGTGAATGCGTGCAAGATGCTGGAAGCACTAAAATTACCTCTCAGGTAAAAGAACCTCTGCGGGAAGCTTGCCAACTAGAGCCACTGTTCCATACAGGGTAGACAGGAAGGGTCTGCCGGGCCTGCCGTCTGTATGGTGAGCCAACATATTGCCCCTCTTGGAATGAAATGAACAGAATTCACTTGTCATCCTGGCTTCCCTCCTTATCAGGGCTAGTGGTCCAAGTCTTGTTGACTTGGGGGCAGTGACAGAGGAATGTGGGCTCTTCCTAGGAGGTCAGAATTACCAGCCCCTCTGCTAGACATCTTGTGTTAGTTTCTGGAGATTTAAAAGTATAGATGTTCAGCTGAGAATTATATTTTCCTCTCCCCAGGTTCAGTAAAGAGAGCCAGACATATTTTCTTCAGCATGTGGATCATAGTTCATACTTTCATTAAGTGCTTATTCGTGAGCTTTTTAGTTATGCTGTAGCTACACCTCCTTAGTGTGTGAAGATCCTAGATATTCACAGCTTTGTTCTCCCATCTGTGGTTTTTAGGCTCCGAGTTTTTGACAGTGGCGTCATGGTAATTGAGCTTCAGAGCCATAAGGAAGAGGAAATGGTGGCCTCAGCCTTGGAGACAGTATGTGAACCCCATTTCCTCCTCATCAGTCTGCCCACCAAGACCTGAATGCCTAGCAACTTGAGAAACAGGATTTCCTTTTGAATTTAACTTTACTAAAAAGTAATGTTTGTAGACCCAATTAAAAACACCTTTTTTTTTTTTTTTTACTTTTCTTTTTTACTTTTTTTTTTTTTTACTAGTCAAGTGTAGTAGTGAGAAGGGGGAAAGAGTAGAACAAGGGGTTCGATCTGTAACTGCCTGTGAACAATCAGTTGAGATAACTCACTACCTTCGGACCAGCCAAAAACACCTATTATTAACAGTGAATAAATACTAATCAAAATTACATTGTTCAAGTTTTTGAAACTTAACCAAGGAGAACTGGAATTCGTGAGGTGCTGTCTTTTTGTTTGAAGCTCAGTCTCACGGACAGGTTTTTAACTTTCTTGATCAGAATGTGACCCCTGACAGAATTTTTTCTTTGAGTAACACCTACTTAAGTGGTTTTATAAAACATCACAAGTTGTTTTACAAAATAATTGCTTCAAAAAATATGAAAAGCAGGGGTTCCAGGGTGGTTGAGTTGGTTAAGCAACTGCCTTCGGTTCAGGTCATGATCCTGGAGTCCTGGGATCGAGTCCCGCATCGGGCTCCCAGCTCCACGGGGAGTCTGCTTCTCCCTCTGACCTTCTCCTTGCTCATGCTCTCTCTCACTGTCTCTCTCTCAAATAAATAAATAAAATATTAAAAAAACACATGAAAAGCAGCTGTAGTTTAGATGGATTTTACTGGCCAAACTACTCCTATTACTTATTAGGAGACTTGAAATATTACTGCCTTCATAGCCTCTGTGGTGAGCCTGTTTGATTTGAATAATTCGTATTTATTACACTTATTTTAAACTAGGTGAGGATGAGGAAATTGAGGCTTAAGACTTGATATTTCTGCCATATATTTTAAAGCTTAACCTATATATAAGTTTCCTTTACTGGAGCATGAAATATGCACTCAGAATTTGTTACATGTTCCTTTTTAGAATCTCAAAGAGTTCTTCTTCTGTTCAGTATAGAGCCTTCGTTACATTGTAGAGGGCTTCACCATATGTTGGTATTTTCAGCTCTGCTGTGTTTCTCTCGGTCCTTCAGCGTTTGTAGAATTAAACACTAGTGAAGAGGATTTAGTTTTATAGTGAATATTCTTTGGATTTGAGTAAGAAATTCGGTAAATTACTTCCTGAGTATACTGGTAGACACTCTCCCTAGGTGAGTACTTAGTTGGCCTAAATTATCACATTTTTGTCTCTGCTGTATTTCTGGTAGGTTTCAGAAAAGGGATCCCTGACATCAGAAGAGTTTGCTAAGCTGGTGGGAATGTCTGTCCTCCTGGCTAAGGAAAGGTAAGTGCGGTCCTTGCTCTTCCTTAACACTGTATTTGTGTTTCTGAATGGACAAATGATTGTGGTGTCTCCCCTTAATTCCTAGGTTGCTTCTTGCAGAGAAGATGGGCCATCTTTGCCGAGATGATTCAGTGGAAGGCTTGCGTTTTTACCCAAATTTATTTATGACACAGAGCTGAGGGTTTTGTATTTCAAATCCTTCTTGTTCACGTACTCGTATCATGTAAACGTTGTAGGACATTGAGCTCAGAGTAAACCCTGATAAACTGAGAATTTCTGGAACTTTATACTATACTATACTATACTATAAAACCCTTTTAATTTCTCCCTAAATATTATGGTCCAGGAAATTTACTTCAGATAAATATAGGAAAATACAGAAAACTGAAGGCTGCTATGAATTTGAAATCATGCTACTCTCAGAGTTTAACCTGAAATATGGTGGATTTTAACTTGACCCTCCAATCTAACCTTTTTTTTTTTTTTTTTTTTAAAGAAGGGAGTTTAGTTAATGGGGGAAGAAAGAAGTTGCATGTTTGGACAGGTTAGATCATTTTTCTGGTGTGACTAAAATTCACTGAGTTATAAACGAAGTTTTTCTCTGCATCTAATGTGCCCATTTGGGGAGGTGGCGTTCATGACGCAAGTCATAGCTAGAGTATAGCTTAAGAACTGACAGCACAGGGACAGAGCATCAGACTGGGGGACACTGTATGGGGCTCCTTCCCTAAGGGCTTTTCTTTAGAAGCAGTCATAAACATGTCTTCAACATACACCTTAAAAAAGGAGAAAATTGTCATTGACTTACGTATATATAATCTAACTCGTTCTTTTTTTTCACATGATGTTCTCATGGCTGGCATTTAAAGAATGTAACTATCTCATTTTGTTGAAAAAAATGCTGTGGATTTTGAAACTGAATTAATGAGCTGTATAGACACACCCAGGGATATGATTACAAATTTGGAAAGTAGAAGGCCGAGGAATTCCCTAGGATTGTGTGGGTGGAGGGGCCGGGAGAACCTTTAAGTAACTTAACAGGAACCTTGGTGCTCTTTGACCTCGAAAGCCAAAGACAGGAACAAAGAAGGTGGACAAGTAATCGGTTTCCTTTTCCTTCCTTTAAGGAGTTTCAACAAGACACTTTAAAAAATCTTTCATCTTCCAGCAATACTTTTTTTTCTTTACCCCATTTGTTAGAAGTTGTGTAGAGAAACTATCTCACTGAGAAATATTACTGCAATAACAAAAACTGGCTCATATTGAATGTCGATTGCTTGAGTTCTAAAGTGGACTGCCTGACTTCCTACATCATTGCTCTCCAGCGTATGGTGTGTTGGCATTACCTCAAACTCAGGGACCCCACAGGGACAGAAGGAGCCTCCCCTTCTAAGACTGTGTTGAAAATGGAAAGTAGGGATGGTTTTCGGCCAATTCTCCAGAAGGGATAGTGTCTGTATTGAGCTAACTGTTGTGACCAGCAGGAGGGGATACCCCAGCTCACAAGCTGGGATCCCATAGAGGTCACTGGGTGAGGTGGAGGCCACTGCCAGAGGCCACGACAGATGCCCTGTGGGGAAGTTGCAGGGATCCTCAGCTGCAGACCCAGGGAATCCCTACCACCGCAGCCGGATTCGGTCCCCTGATCCCTGCCTGCAAAAGTGGCCGTCGCTGCTTCTCGTCCTCCAGCATGACGGGAACGTCTCGGCCAAGGCCTCCTGCCTGTCTTCATTTTCCAGACCTGTCGTTGATTCTGTAATATGATGACAGATCCCCTCATTTCCTCAGTGCTCAGCCTCCGTTGGTTTGGAAGGGTATTCAGTGTCCGGCTGCCCGTGTCGTGCAGGCCGTTGTGTAAACTTGTACATGTGGCACTCCTGTCTCTGGGTTGTACTCACACTGCTCTGGCACACGCATACACACACGCTCACATGTGCACACACACACACACTTACACGTACGATATCTCATCTGGCTAAGGTTTTTAAAAAATTACAAAGGTAAATAGTAATGTGTCTCAGTAGTTGGAGTGAGTTGCAACTAAGATTGTTTGAGCTACTGGATCTAGCGCTTCACGATTTGGATTCATTACAGCAGACTCCCATGGTTCAGTGTATTTATTTCCATTAGTGTGACAACACATTAAAAAAATGGAGCAATCTAAATTGTATAAAGTGAACTAAAGAGGAAGAAAAGTGACATATGAATATATTTTGCAAATGTCACATTAATTAAAAAAGTATGATTCTACTGTTTTATTTTTAAAGTGGGCATTCTTCACTGTTCCCAGACCTCTGTATGTATACTTTTTATCCCACCCCCTTTTTTTTTTTTTTTTTTTTTGCCAAATAAGGTGTTGCAGAGGTTATGTTTAAATAAAACCAATCAGGCCCTAAATGCAAAAAAAAATCATCTTGGTGCTTATCACTGGTATAATTATTATTTTTGCTTTATTATCTTTGCTCTTAGGAGCATAAATTTGTTTGTAGCTTTATAGTAATGGAATTTTTCTAGTCACTGTCAAAAATATTTTTACATTGTAGAGTAAAGATTGTTTTCAGGGTTAAATGATTAGAATTAATGTATATAGAGTAAAATTACTGGAAAACTTTTAAGTGATTTTTTCTTAACGTGTTCTTTTTAAAATACTCTTTGAAAAATATATGAAAGTGATAAACCTTTAATGAGAATAAGCCAGTATGTTAAGATTTTTTTCTTTATTTTTGACCTCAAGATCTTACTGTTTTAGTTTTTTAAAAAGAAAACAATGGGAAATGGCTCATGAACTGTTTTTGGGTTTTTTGTTTTATTTTGTTTTAATTCTTGATGTGAAGTCCATCGTTGACTGACCTTGTGTATTCACATGAATGTACTGTCTCTTGTTCCCTTTAACCAGACTAGCCTGAGCAGACATGGATTTGTCATGTCCTCATCCTCATGCTCTGCCCGGTAATCTCAGTGTTTTCCTTTTGGTATGGTAGAGTCACGACTCACAAGCTGTTTAGATTTTTAGACTGTGCCTCAGAAGCAAATCGAGCATGCTCAAAATGATCCCTGAAGATTTCTTAAATTGCCAATGAAGTTCTCTGTATAGTCTTAAAATTAGAATCCCTGTAGAGTGATACATGGATATGAATATATTATGAACATAGTAAGTATATTACATACAATACACAATAAAAACTACATAGCATCAGTAGACTTTTATAACACCAGTAATTAAACTATTTAAATGTGTGTGGTTTTTTTTGTTTGTTTGTTTTTGGTTTTTGGCCACTAGGTATGCTTGAATTTATATAAATTTATTGCTAATCTCACCCCTCATGATAGATCTCTTGTGAACTCCACAAGGGGAGAGAGTTTTATCTGGTTTGTTCATAGATATATCCTCAGAGCCCTGGAACAGGGCCTGGCACACAGTAAGCATTCAATAAATATTAACTGAATGAGTGAACTCTGATGTATATACCTCTTTATAACCTGGCTCCATTTATCCTACCTTACCTCCCATTCAATTAAATAAAAAGAAAAAAAATTTTTAAATACATATTGGCTGCGTGAGGAACTGTGTGGCCACTGGTGTGTGGGGGTGATTAATAATAGGATATAACTCCTGCCTTTAGGAAGGTGGCCTACTTGGGTAAATAGACATGTGAACAGTGTTACCTGAAGATGGAAGGAGGTGCTTGTCACAGAAGCAGCACGGGCACTTTGCTGGGGCAGGCAGGAGGAGGGTCCTGTAGTACCCATGGAGGGATCTGGAAAGGCCGTGTGGGAGAGGAAGGGCCTCATAAACTAGGCTCACGAGGACCAACAGATTGTCGGTAGGTGGAAGGCGCTTTGTAGGGGAACAACATGAGGCATTCCCCTTCCTATTCCTGGGGCCTATTTCCTTACACTGTGCAGACTTGCCTCTCTTTACTTTTCCCCATTCACTTATCATCTCCAGCCCAATAACCAGAATCAGACTTTGCTCATTTCCACCTGCTTTAGAAAAATCTGTTTCCAGTACGCAACTCTACTATTTCTAAACTCTGTAATAGTTATATTATCTGTCTCACTTATGGAACTATATTTTGTCTTAATGCCATAAGAAAAGAGAGGAATTGGGTTTATTTAAAGTACAAGGGTTGTCACATAACTGAATCTTTTAAATCTCTTCTGGCCTAGGTCAGTGATTGTACATGGTAGATTCCTAGTTGAGTATTAATACTTGAGTGATTTTTGGATTATAATGTGTCGTGAACTGACTCACAAACCTAAATCTGTCCTTTACCATCCACCCAAAGAGGCTTTTCAACCAGACCTGTCAGGGCTCAGCCTGTCTGAGATACTCTGTCTTATTCAAATTCCATGACATGGCGCATATCCACGATGTGGGAAGCAATCCAGAAAAGTCAGGTTGAAACATATGTAAGATCTTGTTATTACAGTGTGAAAAGTGGGTCATCTGTGTTGTTCCTTGAGTCCTGATAATCATGAATAAGTTGAAGCTTTTCTTTCAGAGCATTATCTAAGGAAGTAAAGGATCTCTCCATGGATATAAAGGATACCAGCAAGATAGTGAATATGTTTACAGTTTGCACAAGATTACTAGACCAGTCACTGACCCAGAAAGAATTAAAGTTACCTTGACAGAAGCTTGTTTTAGTTAATCCCAAGACCATGGAAGCTTTTTCCCTTCATGTCTACACCGCCTTCTTTTGGAAAAGATTATGCCTTAAGTGTGCAATAAAGACAGAAACACAGTTTGGCAAGAATTCTAATTAAGGGAAAAAATGACCAAGTATTGAAATTACAGCTGTTATTTAAAAAATGTCCCAGCACATTGATCCAACCCCTTGTACCTGGTTGGAGGTCCTCCCAAGTCCCAAAGGTGGATTTCCAGGGAGGGCATGTCTGAGAGGTTAATGCAGAGCAAGTTGTTTTCTATGTTTCACTTAATCATCACAAAACTTCCATACGACTGTTATGTGCCTTTTACAGTGGAGGAAAGAAGCGATTAAGTATTTGCCAAGGTTACTGAAATGGGCAAGAATTAATCTTAGCTTTCTCTAACTCCAAAGCCCCATTCTTTTTTTTTTTTCCCTTCACTTTTGTATTAATATGTGATGTATTGTTTCAGGGGTACAGTCCTGTGAATCATCAGTCTTAGCACAATTCACAGCACTCACCATGGCACATACCCTCCCTAAGGTCCATCACCCATCACCCTATCCTTTCCCTCCACTGCCCAGCAACCCTCAGTTTGTTTCCTGAGATTAAGAGTTTCTTATGGTTTGTCTCCCTCCCTGGTGCCCTTTCCTCCCTCCTCCCCCACCCTCACCCCCCACACAGCCTCTCAGATTCCTCATATCAGAGAAATCATATAATTGTCTTTCTCTGATTGACTTATTTCACCAAAGCCCCATCCTTTATTGAGCTCTTGCTTTCAAAAACGCCAAGGACTGTAGCATATATGTGAAAAGATATCTCAACTTGTACTGACGAATGGACATTGGAGTAGATACTTTCTGTCAGTAAAGCCTTGGATGGATTTAATTCGTACTGCTAGTTTCAGTTATTGGACGAGATAAGTACTTAGCAAATTCACTATCTCAGCCAACCTCTGATAACGGATAGTTGAGTAATTGCGTTACCTTTTAAAAGATTAAGTATAGGTTCAAAAACCTGCAAATGCTTTACTTTTAAGTTTTAGAAATTGAGGTAATATTTACAGTGAAGTGTAGGTATCTTAAGTTGGAGGCATTTTAACAAATGCATGCTAAATCCATATAACTCAACACCCCAGCCAACAGAACATATCTGCCATCCCCCTGGGGCCTCTTTCCCGTCACCTGCTCTCTGGAGGCCACGCCTGTTCTGATTTCTATTACTGCACACTAGTGCTGTCCGTTAAATGGGCTGTTTTGTGTAGAAGAAAAGCAAATGGTAAACTGTATTCACAGGACAGTGGACCGAAAAGCACGGCTGTGAAGGTGGAACTCTTATCCTCCAGTATTCTTGTAAAAAGACAACTGTAACACTTGCGAATTAAGGTGTCATTTTTAAAATTTAGCCAGCTCTGGCTGTGGGGAAAGAAAAACCTAAACGAAGTTGCGCTTTGCCTGAACTGTTCTCGTTTGAGACTCTTCAAGGCCATTTGGGCAACCCAGTTTACAGCCCACCAGTGAGGCCACTCGGATGGTTTACTTTTTGTGGTTCGCCAGAAGAAAGGACCGCGGGGGGAGAAGTGATTGGATCGGAACGTGGGGAGAACTACGGCTCGCCCTGGGCCCAGGCCCCGGCCGTGGG